CTAGGATTGTACTCACTAGATGCCCTATAGCCTAACCCACTTGTTCATAAATTGTTACAGGTTAGTAGATAATGTCAGAAGCTTAGCAAACTTATGAGCTTTATATATTTAGAGGACTTTTGGTTTATAATATCTTCTTAAACCTTTGTTTTAATATATGTTGTAACACTCTCGCATGAATTGTTGTATTAAATCACTAAATGTTTTGGAAAGAATTAATTGAGACCGTTATTCGCATTTGAACTTTGTAAAATGTTTAAATTTTACTTTGGAGATCGTTTCTCCCCATACTAAAACTCTGAAATTAATTTGAAAGATTTAATTAAAGGATAATTCAAATAGGCTCAAGCAATGGGTGTTACATAATATTACAAGTTATGTTCACATGTGATAATTATACGTTATATTCTTTTGTGAATATTAAATTTTATATTCACATGTATAATTATACATTATATTCACCTGTGAATATTACATAGTATATTCAAGCATGCATATTACATGATATAATAACATATGAATATTACATTATATGATATATTCACATGTGAATATAACTTTTATATTATTCACATATGAATTGCATATAATCTTTCATTAATTTTAGTAAGTACATGTTGATTCACATGTGCAAGCATATTCACGTGTAAATATTATGTGGTACATTTAGTTTATTCATTTAATCAAACATTTAAAATGCACACAAGCTAACTTATATGTTGATGGTAAAATCATTTTCAAATGGGCTATTTAAACTCCATATATTATCAACAACATAAAGTTCTGTTGAATCTTAGATTTTTCGGGTATTGATGAAGGTCTCGAATCCGACTATGCAAAGGAGATCCGAAAACTTCGTACCTGAAATACAAAACTACAATTCCGGACTTTTCTGGGAACGGGTCCTGGGAGAACCCTCCGATGGTTAAATTAGTCGACAATTGTAATTTGTGTTCGATGATATATATATATATATATATATATATATATATATATATATATATATATATATATATATATATATATACATACATACAGACATAGGCTTAGGTTATTTTGTTTAAAGTAATTATTGTGTTATTGTATGTATAAATGTGGGCCAATCAAATTTACTTATTTTAAGAAAGTGTTAATATATATTATTGAATTAAATATAATTGGAAAAATCATCTTAATTAATTACAAGGATAATTTAGTCAATTAATACAGATTTAATGAAGGAAAATTGCATTCTTTTAAGGGATCATAGATTCTATTAATTTTAAAAATCTGATTTTACGAATTATAATTCTTTTAATTCGGACATTCTGACAGAATATGTTTATGAGTATATTCAAAAATAAAAATATTATTGAGCCATACATAATAAAAATATTCTTGAACCTATTTCTTGATGATGACTTTAAAAACTTCTTGAAGAATAACAACTTCTTGTAGAATAAAAAAATCTTGAATAATCAATTGAAGAATAAAAACAAAAAATACATTATTTCTTATAGAATACGGGTAACATTTGTTAGGAATTACATTTATTGTTAAAGAATAAAACTAAAAAAACAATCAAAACGGGGAAGAAAACATCAAAATCTAACAACAACTAATACATTCTAAAAGAAAATAATGTGATTCGTTCTTCAAGCATCAACTTCTGTGATTCTAACATAATTGGAATTTGTCATTCCATTCCAACAGAACTGGAATTCATCATTCCATTCCAATAGAATTGGAATCTCACCAATATCATCCATTGAATCATCTACATAAATGAATTTACATACAACTATCGTATTAACATTTGACAAAGACAAAAATACCCTTGTAACACACCATGTATATAACTTATAAATTTGTATAGATGTGATAAGTAACAAAGTAATTCCTGGTGTTTGAAGGTTACTACTGAACTTTTTCATTTTGACATAAGCTCCTTGCTTTAATCCAAATGTATAATTGTATCTTCAATTATCCTTAACGAACCAGTGACTCCAATGAGAAATAGATGAAAGACCCTTTTGAATGAGTGAAAAAACTACTAAAATTTGAACAACACATTGCCATTCACTTACATAAACCCTAGAAGTTGCATAAATCGATTTCAAGAAAACAATTTGATTTCGGAAACAAACCGATTTCAAGCACATAATTCAACTTAGAAAATCATTGTAAACCATTCCATACTGGAAGAAGAAAAAAAAAACCGTAAAACCATAATAATTTCCACCGATCGAACCCAAAAGGATTGAACACAAATGGTGCTATAATCCATGAAACCACAAGGATTTGATGAGACTGAAATGAGAGATAGTTTCAATTGTAAAAATGAAGAACTCCATGATAATGAATTTGGTCTTTTGTGATGGCATCGATGGTGAGGACAAAAACATAGGAGTGGGTGTTCTCGTCGGAGGGATGGTTTAAATTTGAAGGGAGTCGATGGTGAATGGCATCGATGAAACGCCGGTGGCTTTGCCGTGGGAAAACGGTGGAAGCGCCAACAGAAGTAGCCGATTGATCGCTCGATTCTTCCCTCTCCCGATCTATGAAGAAGACGATGAAGGGTCTGGTGTCGATTTGTTCATTTTAGGGTTTTCAGAATTGATTTTTAGATAAAGAAGTGAACGAGATTTAAACTGGAGAGATACCATGATTATAGAGATTATTTTTGGAATTAATTAAGCAAATTACTAAATTACCCTTATTTATTTATTTAACTATTTAATTTTTTATTTAATTTTGATTGGCCCACATTTATGCATTGTGTTAAGGGGTAGTTTTGTATAGAAAGGTTCGAATTGAGCACTTTCTCATTCCTTTTCGGTTTTGTAATCATTTTTCGATTATCAGAAGGGGGAGAGAATTAAATATGAGAATTCGAAAGTTGTGAATTTTTCATACTATGTGGACTTGAAGATCGATCTGACCTTGAGTAATTGAACTTTATGAAATGATTCGATTTGAGACTCGAAAGTGATTTGGGTTTTCCCGGTTCATGATGGGTTTGGACTTAATGAAGATTTTTGGGGTGTGCTTTTATGCTCAAATTTAGGTAATCTTGTGGAGGTTTCGATACTCCTAATTACCTTTTGATTCTTGGTTTGTAAGGACTCGCATTCTAGATCCCGGATTGGAAGGTCATTAAAGAATTGGAGATTTGAAGTTCATTTCTACAATTGTCATGCTTGAGGCTTAGTTCGTGAAGTTGCTCATTTTTGGAAGATTGAAGCCGAGTTATCCATCCATAACTTTGAGGGGGAGAATGTTAGGTACAAAGTTCTCCATTAGATGACTAATGAAGGCTTGTATAGAGAAGACCCACTTGCAAGTGGTATTGATGCCTTGTGACATGATATATATATATATATATATATATATATATATATATATATATATATATATATAGAGAGAGAGAGAGAGAGAGAAAGAAAGATGTTTGTGAGATGTATATATAGTGTGAAGTTGTTATCTTGGGGAAGAAGGTATAAATCTGATACTCTTGTCTTGGGAAAAAGCATATATTTGAAAAACATTCATTAGGAAGGACCATAAACTTGGACCTCTTGTCTTGGGAAGGAGCACTGTGGTTGGCCAAGGCTGAAACTCTTTAGCCGAGGCCGAACCTGATTGGCCAAACCAAACCATCAACAGAAAACCAAACCGATCCATCTGGTAGAAGACCGAGTCGAACCCTTAACCATCAGTAGGAGGCCGAACCGAACCTGGTTGGTAGAACCGTATTTACCTGAATCCAAAAAAGGGGTCCAATCAGGGATATATATATCATCAATTCCCCCAAGTATGAAGTAGGAGCGAGTCGACATCTGGTCGCGCTTTGGGCTTATACTAGTCACGTATGCAATCAAATGTCTTCATGCGTATGTAAACAAGATTAGAGTTATGATATACTCTATTCATGACTTTGTGTGATCCTAAAGTTTAGATAAATCAAACGTTTTGAATATAACCGATCGTATCAAAAAACTAATCATTGATTGTATCGCCTTGAGAAGGGAATTGCTCATTAAGATCCATGAAAAACATATCAATATAACTTTTATATATAATTCAAATGTGAATTACATATAATGTTTCATAGCTTTTAGTAAGCATATGCTAAGTCACGTGTACATTCATATATGAATATTTTGTGATACATTTAGTTTATACATTTCATCAAACAATTAAAGTGCATACAAGGTAAAGTATATAATTTTGGTAAAATCATTCACACGTGTAATGGTTACACTTCACATATCAATGTTGAACGATTGACTTGAAATGAATATATTGATGATCAATTACACATATATGATGATGTTATGAAGTGGATATGTTGATGATGATCACTTAAGGAGATCTCATGACATTGAATTAAAATTGGTTAACGAGGTTGAATAATTTAGACGTTGAAACATAATCGATCAACGATGACACAATTATTTATTTGTCTTTTTACCCATTAATTATTTTATTTACAATTAATATATTTGAGAAATGAGTAAACCATTTCAAACAAATAAAAATATGAATATATAACTACTAATAAATAAAAAACGTTTATAAAAGTATTTTTTTATTAATTATAAATAAACTTTTGCATATATCCTTAGAACAAAAATGTTGAAAAGGATTAACAATGAGTTTGTAGAAGCCGAGAGCTTTAACAGTTTTACAGTGGGAACAAGTCGATGAAAGGCATTGGCTTTTTGCGAGAACACTGTGTCGCTTTAGTGGCTGGCAAAGATAAGCGGGCAACTCGTCTTTTTCATGCCTCTTTTCTGTCCTTTCCCTTTCTTCTTTTTCCCTTTTCTTAGCTATCCTCTTTTGTGCGATCCCATTTTTTTCTCACTTTTTATCGAGCCATTAACAAACCTACAACGACAAAGCTGATTTTGTTCGCTTCACCTTATGCTATTGAATATCAGTTTCAAAAGATTCAAGATTTTTTATCGGTATGTGGGGTTTTCTTGTTGTTGTCTTGTTCCTTGATCGATCGTCTCTTTCTTTCCTTTTCCTTTCTCCTAAAAAGATTTTAGCTTTTACTGTTTTGTTTATTTTCTGCTCTACTCCCAATCAACTGTTGGATTTCACGTGTTTCTGCTCCATATTTGATTGATTATCCCAATTTGATCTAACCTTGAAGTGACTCTATCTTAAATTCAAGTTCTCAAATGGGGTCTGTAAATAACTATAGTTTTAATATCCATATCAATCATGTAATAGTATCAGGATAAGATTTGCATGATATCAAGTTGTACTACTATCGAAATGAAATGAGGTTTGTAAATTTGTTTGCTCAATCTAGAATGAGTGGATTAATTTCCGGGTTTTATGCTTTATTGCTCCCTTAATCCTCGAAACAAATTTGTTAATCCTGTGAAATTATCAATCAAAGTTTGTCTTTATTGTTGTGTACTGATATAAGTGGTCCATTTCAACTTTTGCAGGTCGTCATCCTTCGGTAAAAGAAAGATTTTTCTTGAAGAACTTTGGATCTTTTTAGGGATTAAATCTTGAAATTTAGTTCCAAGAAAGATAAGATAGCAGATATATAGGGAAGGGGGGTGTGTCTGAGTGTCTCCAATGGCGTAAAAATTTAAAATTTATCCCACACTGTATGTGAAAAAGCGTGTACTTTATATTGCATTGTCTCCTTATTCACCTCTTCTTGAAAAAAGCTTGCTTATTTTCAAGAAATCTTGAAAGTTGAAACCTGAATACCCCCTCTTTTCTGGTTTGCGATATATTCAGTTTTTCGCACAACCTATAACCCTAGAAGTTGGTAAAACAAGGAATCAAATACACTCCCATACTTAAAATCGCTCAATTTTATCGATCACGATCTGGGATCTTGAAGTTGAAGGTGCTAATCGTTTAGCATCTCTAGGGTTTTCAGTATGAAGTTTATGAAACTCGGATCGAAGCCGGATTTGTTCCAATCCAGTAGCGAAAATACACGGTCAGTTTGCGAATTTCGATCTTTTCCTTTTAATTCATCGATGAACTCAAGAACTTGAAACACCAAATCCCGATCTTCTTTTACAGGTATGTAGCAGCTGAGCTCGCTACTGACATAATCGTAAATGTTTGTAACGTCAAGTTTTATCTCCACAAGGTATAAAAACTTCATATAATGATTTGAGAAGGATAATAGTGATGCTAATACTAAAAAACTACTTTGTATGCAGTTTCCCCTTTTGTCCAAGAGTGGTCGTTTCCAGAAAATGATGACAATTTCACACGATGAAAACGCCATTGAAATCGATCTCCATGAAATACCCGGTGGGCCTGGTGGGTTTGAGATATGTGCGAAGTTTTGTTATGGAATGACAGTTACATTAAATGCATACAACGTGGTGGTGGCTAGATGTGCAGCAGAGTATCTAGAAATGCATGAAACTATAGATAAAGGAAACCTCGTTTATAAAACGGAAGTTTTTCTGGATTCGAGCATTTTCAGAACATGGAAAGATTCGATTATTGTTTTTCAAACTACAAAGTCTCTTCTTCTTACATCATCGTCTGATGAATTGAAGATTGTCAATCGTTGTCTTGATTCCATAGCTTCAAAAGCTTCCATGGATCCCTGTAAAGTTGAGTGGTCGTATACTTACAATCGAACAAAATCTGAAAATGGTAACGAAACGCCACTTTATAATGGTGTTAGGAAACAGGTTATGGTTCCTAAAGATTGGTGGGTTGAAGATTTGTGTGAACTTCCTGTTGATTTGTATAAAAAAGTTATCACAACGATTAGGGGTAAAGGGAAAGTAAGCCTTGATGTTCTTGGTGAATCTTTAAAAGCTTACACACAAAAAAGGTTAAAGAATGGTGGCGATGATGTTAAAATCCGTTCTTTGATTGAAACGATCATGTTTCTTTTACCCAAAGAAAAAACGAGCGTTTCTTGTGATTTTTTGATTCAGTTATTACATGAATCTGTTCGTTTGGATTGTGGGGAAACAAGGAGGCGTGAATTGGGTCAACGAATTGGTCAACAGCTACAAAATGCATCGGTTTCTGATCTTATGAATCTTGATGTTGATTTGGTTCAAGAACTCGTTAAGATCTTCATGATGCAGGATCAAATTGCTGATAATGGCGACGAACATGGCTTCCTTGAGGTCAAATTCGTTGACTCTGCTTCCAAAGTCAAAGTAGCCAAGCTCATCGATTGCTATGTTGCTGAAATCGCCAAAAACCCTGATTTGCCATTGTTGAAGTTCACCGATCTTGCAGAAATTGTGTCAACTCTACCTCGAATTTCGCATGACGGAATTTATCGTGCTATTGACACGTTTCTTAAGGTAAATTTAACAAAGTTATTAGAGTAAATTACAAACTGGACCCCGACTATCACTTTTTTTGCAATATAGTCACGAGTAAATACATTTTTTTGGCTCTCAAATTTGGTTCCAAAAAGTTTTTTTTTTTGGTTCGTAATATGTGGTTTATGTGGTTTTTGTTACGTTTTTTTTTTTTTTTTTTTTTTTTTTTTGTAGTAAAAATACTATTTTTGGACCCTAAAGACAGGGATAAAAATGTCATTCTACGATGATCAGGGACAAAATCGTTACAAACCTCAAATAAGAACTAAAATAACAAAAAGAAAACTTTTGGGACCAAAATTAAAAATCAGCTATACTTAGGGCCAGATATGTAATTTACTCATATATTCATTTCGCTTGGAAGTTGGGAACGGGCCAAAAAGAAACATTTTGGGCCCAAAAATGAGAAAAGAAACATTTTCGGCCCAAAATTGCAAAAAGATACCGATGGCATATTTGTAATTTGCTTACCTTATAATGAAATCACACAACTAATCTTGTAGGAACACCCTGGGATGAGCAAGATTGAGAAGAAAAGAGTTTGTAGACTAATGGATTGTAGGAAGTTATCATCAGAAGCTTGCATGCATGCAATCCAAAATGAAAGACTACCTTTACGTATTGTTGTGCAAATTCTTTTCTTTGAGCAAATACGAGCCGGGTCCCACGGGAGTTCGAGATCGGGAACAACAAATACAGAAGAAGAATGGGATTCGGTGCCCACAAGTGAAGAACTCAAGAGTTTGAAAGGGGAATTTGGTTCTCTAAGGATCAAAGATGGTGGAAATGGAAACCGAAAGGCGAAAGGAATGGTCATGTCAACAAGGATACTGTCTAAGTTGTTTTCGAGCAAAGATAAGGATAGTGATAATGAGAGTTCGGAAACGTCTGGGAGTCCGAGTCCTTGTTCGACAAATGTACGGGAGATAAAGTCGAATACAGGTTCAAGAAGCAGGCGACGTTCGACGTCATAGTGTCTAGATTGTATGACCGTACATACATGCAGCCTAGTACTGTATTTGGGTGTATTAGACTGGGACTGGGACTGAGACTGAGACTGATGTCAGTAAGATAAAACTTGCTTTTGATAATATCGTCTGTGCAAAAGACGTGAAATGTCATGTTATCTTAATCACCGAAAATAGCACTAGAAAGGTTGTGTAGTCTAGTACGTTTTATCTTAGTCTTATCCAGTCAAATCTTGTTGTATCTTGTTCCCGATAACAAATGCAACTAATTGTTAGAATCCGACCATATTTTTGCTAGAAGCATGTTTTAACTTTTAAATGGAGAAGCACAAGTTTTCTTATAAGGTTTCTAGCATTTCAAGTTGCCTTGCTCAAAAGCTTGATTCGAATCTTATAATTGTTGTCAACTATCATACGTTTGTATGTATTAAATTTGATTGCATTGATATGTGCGAAACATTTCACATGAATCATATGCGATAAAGTAATGGACAATGTTAATATGTATTACATTGTATAAGATGTATCCGGCCCACATTGGGTCCAGTTTGCGTTGGTCTATTCCCAAATTTCCGGATCAAATGCCATTTGGTAGGTATTTTTTGTTATTGTTTATATTATTAAAATAGCTTTTGTTATTGTTTATATTATTATGTAGTTTTATACCATACATGAATACAAACGTACTGGTTGTAAACCGTATCATTTATAGTGTAAAACATTCAATGTTGTTCAATTCATATTCTCTTTCAAATCTCAACAAAAAGCCGAGAAGATTTATGTTCATATCTAAGCTATTCAATCCAAATCGATAAATAATAAACTTTTGAAGAGTACTAGTTGAAAATTTAAAATAAAAAAATAACATGATTAAAAGTAGAAGTAAACAAACCCTTACAATAGCGAAAAGCAACAAATAAATGGTACTCAACCATTGAATCGACTTTACCATGACTTTGAACAGTAATAAATTCTAGTCTAACCTTTGACTTTGGCTTTGAACATAAACGTGAACTTTGCTTTGAGTTTGACTTTCAAAGTCTAGATCCATGGGTATTTGGTACCTTCTTGTGATTGTGACAAAAGAATCAAAATTTCAAGCATCCATCTAATTTCAAAGTTCTTATTTTCCAACCCAACGTTTAATCCATTATCATGCATGAATTATACTTGAAACGTCCGATCAAAATATACCTTTTTATTTGTTTTAGATGATATTATGATTTTTTTGTAATGTAAAACTTATAAATTAAAAAATAATCAACCATACAAGTCATATAAACAAATACATAACAAATTAAACTACAAAAGGGTGACATAAATATGGACTTCACTTTATGTTCACTCTTATAAAAAATCAGATTTGGCTTCTAGATGTTAAAAATTATATCTATTTTTTTACATCAATGAATCCCCAATGTTTATGCTAGTTATTTACATAAAAGTTATTTAAAAAGTTCATCGCCTTTGTTTTTTGCCTTTCAATAATGTAAAAAGTATGTTTAACGGGTTACAAATTGATATGGAGACATATGCACATAGTTCAATTAATATGTTTTGAAAACCACAAATATCATTAAAAAGCATCAAGCCTATAGCAAGAAGCTAACAAAAAGGGTATAGTACAAGTGAAGAGAATAAATAACAATGAAATACAATTATAAATGAGCAAAAGGTAAACTGCTCCAATGAGCCCAATTATTGTAGCCAATATGACTCATGTGTTTAAGCCACGAGTAAGATAAAGTTACTATGAAGTCTGCGTTTCTGTTTGAGATCCCCATACTTTTTTAAATGTCACACCATTCCTTGCAAATCAAACACACCAAATGAGATAGAAAAAATATTGAGTTGAGAATCTCCCTTTTACGCGGACAATTACTACAAGAAGTTGTGAAATCTATGAGTTCAAGTATGTTGGCGAATCGTACTGATTGCAAACCACACAATTTAAAAATCCATTATTATCCTTCCTTACGAATTCACAGTTAGAGAATAGATGATTCATTGTCTCGGGTTCTTTATCAATGAACCTTCAAAGGAACTGATCTGGACCAATATATTACAGAGCCTTTATTTGAGCTTGTTTTGGAATCTATTAACCTTCTCATGGAGTCGACTATGTATCTGCCATATGGATTTATTGTGAATCGAAAACCGAGATTATAGGAGGAAGGTATCTCCATATTTGTCAATTGCCAAATACAACTGCAGGAGTTCCATATATGCATCATCAATTCTTGGATCTTAATTCCATCCCCAAGGGAAACCGTTAATAGAAAGTATTTCTTCAATAAAACAACATTTTCTAGCTTCAAGATTGTATAGAAGAGGAAAGCGAGATTAGAAAGTGGTGTTTCCACACCAAATATCTTTCCATAAAAGTATGTTAATTCTAGAGCCTAGAATTAAGCACTCATTGCAATTAATGTTGATGGATTCAAGATTATTTATCGCTTTATAAATATGACACCATACTCCCTTTGATGATTTTCGAGCAATGTATGAAATTTGTTTGCATCTAAAATTATGAATGCTAACGGTTACCTTTTTCCACATGCATTCATCACCATTGTGCAATATCCACCACCATTTTGTTAGAAGAGCAACGTTATGAGCTTTTAGAGTTCCTATACCAAGTCCTCTGTCTTTTTGGAAGCGATAACTTTTTGCCATTACACCCAATGAATTTTCAATTTCTAATCATCTCCACCCCATAGGAAACGACGTCTGATTTTTTTGAGTGTCAAGAACTCATTGTGGTTCTTTGAATAATGATAGGATGTATGTGGGAAGACTTCCAAGTACATATTTTATCAAGGTTAATCTACCACCAAATGATAATGAGCTAGCCTGTAGCATCTGAATCCTTGAGGTACTTAATTTATTGAATTCTTACATTTTCGAGGAGGGTCATGATATGAGCCATAGTGGTCACGATGTGAGTGACCAGACCTTTTGACCAGTATTCTTGAATCTCATGACGCGAGCATGAGGCCTCACGACGTGAGAAAGGCCTAATGACCCAAAACCCTAATTTTCGACTATTTAATAGAGTGAGAGGGGTGGGGTTGCCCATCCTCAGTCTCTCTTACTCTCTAGCCTCTTGAAAACCCTAGATTCGACCTCCTTGAGACCTTTGGACATTGTTGGTGACCTTAAAGAGATTATTTGTGGTTTTTGGTCCATTGAAGTGGAAGAGGACTTTTGTGGTGCTTTATTTTGGCAATTTAGCTTCTACCTCTTGGTCTTGCTGAGCTTTTGGACCTCTGTAAGTCATAAAGCTCTTACCTTTTTGCCTCTTGCATGCTAGATCTAGGTTTCAGAGTTTTTTTTTTTGCATGGTTGGGTTGTGTAGCATGAATGGGATCCCTAAAGTTAGCATCTTTATGGATCATTGAGACATCTTCTGTATATGGGGCTTTGGATCTGAGTTTTGGTGTTGATTTTAGACTCCAAGCATGAGTCTTGATCTTATTATCTTTCTTTTGACCAAGTTAGTATCTAAGTCATGCATTGGACATACATAAATGAGAAGCTACGAATTTTTATAGTCCTTAGGGTCGAGGAAAGTCCTTTGGAAGGTCCCAAAGAATGTTTTACATGATTAAGAGCTTAATGTTCAAAGTTGGTCAGAACAGGTCTTACGACGTGAGAAATGGGAACCTCACAACGTGAAAAATAAGGTTGTCCCGATCTGAGGAATCTGGTTGGATGAGTTGTGACTAGGGGTGTGCAAAAAAACCGCAAAACCGAGCCGAACCGGCCAATCCGAAACCGAAAAAAACCGAAATCGAATAAAACCGGATATCAACGAGTTGGTTTTGGTTTGGATACTTAGGTATCCGCAGATAACCGAACCGAACCGCTTGATATATATATATATATATATATATATATATATATATATATATATATATATATATATATATATATTATTCATTTCCATTGAACTTTTAGCCATATCCCAAACAAAAATCATGATCGATAATTCTAGTTTTACACTTCTACATTATGTTTTCTTGTATTTTTATTTTTATATTTATTATACCAATTATAATGTATGTTATTTGACATTCATTATGTTTTTATAACTCTTTGGAATTAGTAATTTTTAGAAAGAAATCCTTGGAATGAAGTTTGTAATTTTGATTGTATTTGATTTTTTATATTTAGCGGGTACCCGTGAACCGAACCATGGTTACCCGCCTTTATACGGTTCTGTTTGGTTCGGTTTTTTTTTCTAATTCGGTTCGGTTTCGAATAGTGCACATGAAGTACCCGCCCCATGGTGACGGTTCACAATTTTATTATTATCCGAACCGAACCGCCCCGTTAACACCTCTAGTTGTGCTGAGATGACTCATTGAGTGGGGCCGGGTCGAGTCTATTCTCACGACGTGACCAGAGAACAGGTCACGACGTGAGGGTGAGATTATGGGAATGTTGACCTAAAACATCCCAAAAATATGACCCAAAAATTTCGTTTTGAAAATATTATAAGAAACTATAATCATCCATAATCAATAAGAAAACAAATTATCATGTATCTCAAAATCTCATATCAAACTGTACCAAAAACAAATGAGAAAATATATAAGAGTCTCAATAAATCATAGGCTGAAAGTTGTGGTGTGTGCCATGCAATCATCCCGAGCCTTTCCCTTTGCTAGTGGAAGTACCTGAAACCAAAACTAAAAACTATAAGCAAAAATCTTAGTGAGCTCCCCCAAACTACCACATACCACACAATAAAACTTATAACACATCCTGGGCCTTGCCCGGTATCGAACCGAAGTCCGTAATAAACTGAACATAACATAAACATGAACATATAACATAATCACATATACTGCATCAGGCTTTCGTTGCATCGGACCGGTGCCCGGAACATATAACACATATCATAAACATGCGTGAATCACGAAGACATCAAGCATACATAACTACTTCTCGGGACCACCCCGACATTGGACTGAAGTCCGAAAACATATAAACTGCATCGGGCTTACCCCGACATACTGGAACTTCCTAGACGGGCCATCATTGGTGATTTATACCTGTTCCTACCGGACGAAAACTCACCTCACACTGCTGAAGTGTGACATCCCCATTTTCACGGCCAGAAAGGACCGATTTTGTTTATGCTTTATAAAAATCAGAGTTCTTCTTTTAATAAAAATGTTGCGGAATTTGTTCCCAGAAAAACATGATAAATACGTATTAAAACATTTTCGGAGAAACGTATTTTATTCATTTCAAAACGTTTGGGATGTCATCGTTAATACAAAAACATAAGCATAAACAGAACTTACATTTATTTACACTAGTGATCTACATTTCTTTAAATCTCTCAGTGTAAAGTGACTTCGTATCAACACCTGTGATATAAATAAACTGAGTGGGTTAGGTTGGGAAACCTGGTGAGTACATAGGGTTTTCAACCCACAATAATATAATTATTATGTTTAAACAATCAAGCAATTAAACCCAATTACCCATCCCCATTATCTTCTTTACTCTTAAGGATCTACCCTAAGAATCAACTATTTCTCGTTCATTTATACCTAAGGATTATCCTAAGGAATCGAC